GCATGCTCTGGGGCCAGTCCACCAAGCAGACCTCCAAGGCTGAACAGGAGGGGTGACTACAGGAGGGACTTCCCGACCTGCCTACAGCCCGGGTTCAGCGGCCTGATGACCGCCACCTGCATCACAGGCCGCCTGTGCCCAGCAAGCCAGCGTCACGGCCCAGCAGAGGCACTGACCTGAGCCTGGGGGCTGACAGCCGGAGGGATTGCTCTTGGCCCTGCACAGGCCCCATGGGAGTCCAGGTTTTGGCCGAGGGCTCTACACAGTGAGGGATTTTGGGGGAGCGGGATGTCATACAGTGGTGGGGTCTTCCTGCTTCCAGGGCAGGAGACTCCCACAGTTCAGAGTAGGTGGGAACAGGAAGCAGCCAGCGAGTACAGGAGGCCACATGCTGGCCTGTGGAGGCTAAGCCTCCAGGGCAGCACCAGGCCCAGGCCCAGACAAATAACCACAGCAACCGAGCACCTGCTGGGCTGTAGAGCCACAGCCTGCCCGGCTCTTCCAAGCACTGCCTCCCTCAGTGAGTCGGCCTCGGCTCATGGCCCAGCTTCCGTGCCCCTTTCACAGAGGAAGAAACTCAGGCTCAGAGAGGCTGAGCAACTTGCCTGTGGCCACACAGCAGTGAGTGGGAAGCATGACCAGACCCTGTGGCCAGGCTGAAAACCCGTGTGTGCTGTAAGGGGCCTGCGGGTATGGGTGGAGGCAGGGGCAGAAGGGGAAAGGTGGGGCAGGTCTCAGCAAGGTGATGTGTTCTCAGGTAGAAGGTTCAGCAAGTGTGAAAACGAGGAAGCAGGTGTGCTGGGATGGGGACTGGTGATGCTATCCCACCGCACCCCGCCAGTCACGCTGGGTAACCACAGTAACCATCTGACCATCTGGGTGACCACTGTGGGCATCCTGTGGGCCCCTCTGGTTTGCTCCAGCCCTTCCTGTTACAGATGAGGAAATGGATGCAGGAAGCAGGCCTCTGCAGAGACCCTGTGGTGGCTGCTTCTGGCTCCATCCCACTGAGATCCTGACGTGGTCACAGGTAGGTCCAGCCCAGGAACCCCATGACAGGACCTGTGTCAACTGGCGAGAGGAGGGGTCTGGCCCAGCGGGGTGCAGGGATGTGGCATGTGACTTCAGACTGGTTGGTGGCCCAGGCGACAGCCCTCCCATGGCGTTCTGACACGGTGGAAGGCCCTAAGACTGGTATGATGGTGGCCACGGCAGTAGCTCTATCAGGGACTCTGGTGAGACTAGTTGGATGTTCCAATGTTTTCTGTTGGGAGGGCCAGGGATCCTCCGACCAGGGCAGGAGTGTACCCACTGCATAGGGGTACAGGGCAGCAGCCAGGCCTCGAGGTCAGTCCTGGGTCCTGCAGGAGGGCTTGGGACAGAGGCCTACCTGGTGCAGGAGTCTGGGCTCCCCTGTAACCCCCACCTCAGAATTATTCATGGCTGTTCACAGGGTTAGTCACTGAGCCTTTATTCTAAGTCCTGGAGCCCGGTGGCAGCTGGAATGATGTGGGCGTGTTGTAGGGGACAGAGGAGGCGGGAGCTGGGCTGCCCTTGCTCCTAGGCTAAGGTCTGATAACCAGGGGCTGTGTGGGAGCCCCCCCCCCCGCCCCAGCACTTACATCAGGCCAGAAGGGACAGCCCCGACCACTCCCATGTGTGGTGATTAGGATGTGGGTGGAGGTGGGAGACCCATGGGCAGAGTTCGGCAGAAGCCAAGGCACAAAGCAGGACTGGCCGGGCAGGGGACCAGTCAGGGTTTGCAGGTGGAGAGGGCTCAGCCAAGCTGGGGTGATGGCACAGAGGGTCTGAACAGAGAAAGGAGCAAGGTGCTCTGGGGGTGGACGAGGGGCCCAGCAAGGGCCGGCTCGAGTCCTTTTCCAGGGCAACCCCTGGGCACGTCTACACACAGGCCCTGGGGGTAAAGCTTTGGAGTCCGAAAGGTGTCTGGGGAGGATTGGCAGGCCTTGGTTCCTTTTGGGGGGGCTGGTCCTACCACCCTGAGTTCATCCTCCATAATCGTGGCGGCCTGGCTCCCCCTGCTGGCCGTAGGTCCCTCTTCAGGTTAGGCTGCTACAGTTGGGGTGGGGTCAGTGCTCTGTGGCTGGGACACCTCCGCCTCCGGATAGGCTTAGGGTTCTGGCCCGCAGTCCCCGTCCACCTGGAGGTTCGTCTTCACCCAAACATCAGGCCCACACTCTCAGTTGTCTGGCTCCAGTGTCCACTCTGACAGCCACTGAAGATATGAGGCCCTCTGAGCCTCTGTCTCAGGGGGACGGGGAGGGGGCGGTGGGGGCCGGCCTGGCCCGGGCAGGTGCGTGGAGGGGCTGCAGGGCCAAAGTGTCACCTTCTGAGGGTCCATGGTCACGGTCAGCCCGCAGGATTTGGACAAGCTGGTCCAGTGGCTGTACCAGGGTGTGTGGGTTCCAGCAGGCGTCAAGGGTGGGCACGAAAGGGTCTGGTGTACAGGCCTCCACACACTCGGCCTGGGTGGGTATCCGCAGGTAGAAGGCATGCAACATCATGCGGAACGGTTGGTCCTCCTGGCCCGAGGCCTGCCCGTAGGTCAGGTCCCCCACAATGGGGTGGCTGAGGGCACTGCAGTGTACGCGCAGCTGGTGCGTCCGGCCTGTGTGGGGAGAGAGGGCCAGTGAGGCAGGGGTGCCACTCCATGACCACCACCCCACCGTTCATGTCACTGTCCCCAGCTGCCAACTCAGCGGGCACATGCAATAAACCTCCCTGCTTCCTGCTACAGACGAGGGACATAAGAAACTTAGGAATGGGAAGTCAACTTTCTGGGGTCACCTCCTGGCGAGGCCAGGGCCCAGGGGTGGCACTTGGTACATTTGGAGACCTCAGGCCCGCCTCCCCCACTGCCCTTCACATCCAGACCAGCAAGACCACCCTCTAGGGCAAGAGCTCGCAGTTTGCGGGGTGAAAGTGTGTGGGAGAAGGATCCGCTTTTGCCAGCAATGTTTGGGGTGGCCCCCGTCAGGCTACTCTGCCTCTGTGCGTCAGTTTCCTTTCCTATCTAAGGGGGACACTGCAGTGCACTGCTTGAGGAGATGCTGACACCAGGCACCCAGCACGCCGGGGGCAGGACACTGTTGGGGGCGGAGGGGCGGGGCAGTGAGGAGCCTGGGAAGCTTCCTGGCCCCGCTCCTGAATGTACCTGTGAGGGGCTGCAGCAGCACTTTGGAGACGGGGTCACCTGCATAGAGCCCATGTTCTAGAACCACCAGCTCCGTGAGGCTTGGTTTCGGGTTCTCACAGCCTGCGGGGGAGGAAGGGAGGCTGTGAGGGTTGCCTGGGTCAGCCCCGGGCCCCAGGTCACCTCAGCACAAGGTCCCCTTAGATGAAACATGTGCCATGGCCCCTGCCCCCTTGCCCACCGTACCCTGGGTGCCCTCGATGCACATGGTGTGGGTCCGACCCTCTGTGCTGTTCCTGCCGATGGCATAGCTGATGGTTATCCGGCTCTCCTGGACGTGCCCCCGAACCTGCAGGTCAGGGGAGCCCACCTGAAACTCAGACCTTGCTGATGTGGGCTGAGCACCGGAGCCCCCATGCCCCAGGCCTGGCCAGGCCTTACCAGAGCCAGGTAAGCCTTGGTGACCCGCCGCTCCTTGAAGCACCTGTAAGCACTGCCTGCAGCTGCTTTGTTTAGGGCCACGCAGAGTGCTCCGCTGGTGGAGAAATCCAGCTGGTGGCAGAACCTGGCATCGAGCAAAGGGACAGAAGAGGCCGGGTTAGGGGCGGCCACTTCCCTCCCGCGGAGGCTGCCTTGGGCTCCCTGTGCCGCACTCCCAGGTACCTGAACCCGTAGCAGGTGCCGGGGTCAGCCAGCTCGGGGAAGCGGTGCCGCAGCTGCTTTTGGAGGGTCAGGGTCTCCCTCCACGTCTTGCTGTCAATGCGCACGTCCCAGTGCTTGTTCACCACCAGGAAGTCACGGCTCTGGTACACAATGGACAGGTTCTCCACACTGCCTGGCTCCATGGTGGGGCCTGCATGCAGGGCAAGCATGTGGTTCATAGGGTGACCAGCCCATGTCAGGGTCATGCCCAGCTCGGGTAGACAACCCTTGCTCTCCAGAGCTCTGGGTCTGAAGCCACAAACGCTGTGTATCAGGCAAACACATGCACCTACTATGTGCCTGCATCCACTGGGCTCCTAACTACTCTCACCCCTGAACCTCGTAGGAGAGTGGCAACTGGGGTGGGAGTGTGGTCAAGGTGAGGGGAGCCAGTGTTGCTTGGACGTGGGGCAGTCCCACAGTCCCGGCCAGACCCAGGCCTTGGGAGAAACAGTCTTGCTCTGCAGCCCACTCCCACCGACCCTTCCCAACAGACCAGAACGCGCGATAGGGGCCTTTTCCTGAGTGGGGAGGGAGTCGAGGAGAGGGGCTGCTACGGCCCTCGCAGCCGGGGGCGGCACAGGGCAGCCGGGTGCAAGGGGGGGCGCTGGGTGCAGGGGCGGAGTTCACCCTCGCCCTCCCACCCTCCATGCAGACACCATTCCCTACCTCCCCTCCGCGGAAGCCCCCACCTCCTGCGTCCGATGGGCTAAGGGGTTCTGGGTGGATCCCGGTGGCGAGCCCGCCCCCGCCCACTCTGGAACCGACCTGCAGTCGGGCCGCGCCGTCCGGGTCCCCGATGCCGCTGACCCGCCCCGATCCAGCTCCCGCGTCCCCGCACCTCGCGATCCACGACCCAGGGACTTTTCATTCGGGCCACGGAACCACTTCTTTCCAGGTCCGGCCTGCCCGCAGAGCCCCGCCCACTCCCCGCCCACGCCCCCAGACGGGCAGCCGTGTGGACCAATAGCGAGCTCTTGGGACCTGCCTTTCGGACTCCAAGCCTTGACTCGGCCCCACCCTACCTGCGCGCGCAGCCCCGCCCCCGCCCCGCCCTGCCTACTGACCAATGGCTGAGCGCCGCAGGGCACGCCGACTGCACATTGGCGGCGCCGGGACGCGGGGGGCGGGAGCGGCGCGCAGCTGTAGCGCGGGAGCTTCGGAGCCGGCGGCGACTCCGGCGGGCTCGGCGGGCACGCGTGGCCATGGAGGACTACGAGCGGGAGCTGCACGGCGTCGAGGACGACTTCCACAGCCAGTTTGCGGACGAGCTCGAGGTGCTGGCGGAGCTGGAAGGTGGGCGCGGGCCCGGGCGCGGCCTTGTCACTTGTAGCCGGGCAGGGCCCCGGCCTGCCTGCCGCCGGCGTTCGGAGGCTGCTCGGGACCG